GGCTCCCATCCGGGCAGGGCAGTATTTCCCAAGCTCAGTGGAAAAACAAACACTCCGGGGGGTTGCACAGAGGCTCCGGGGTAACGCCGGGCCCAGCCCAGCGCGCATTTCAGGCGGTATTTCCCCAAAATGTTCCCCGCACCGCTCCCATGGCTCAGCCTCTCCGCCCTATTCCCAGGCTGGGGGATGGGTGGGAACTGGGCTCTGCCAAGCCCCGCTCCATCCGAAAAGGCTTTCTCTCCAAACGAAAGGAGAGGGAAGCCTTCCCCATCCCACCTCCACGGCCTTCCTTCCCTGTGGACAAACCCCCGAGCCGTGCAGTCCCCGAGCAGCGCGTGTCCCTTCCCCCAGGCGAGCACGGGCATACAAAGGAAGCCTCGCTCCATTGTCCACCTCCAGCACCTACACAGCGAGAGCCTCGAACCCGGCCCCGCGCTCACCCCCTCACCCCTTTGCCAGCCGCAAATACTCCCGTGGTTACACCCCAAAAAGGTCTGGAGGCAGCGTGTCATCCCCCTCCCCCCTTTAGTACCCGCAGCCAAAGGGCCGAAGTGGGTTTTAACTGTGTTTACTGGCCTGAGATCAGCCTCACCCAAACACACAAATCCCGGGTAAAAATCAGTTTGGAAAACCAGGGAGAAACTGGGAGAAATGCCTGGCTGCAAATCTCCTTCCCAAACCTCGGATCGCAACTCAACGAGGTAAAAACAACCAAAAAAAGGTAATTAATTCAGCGCCTGCCATTTTTCCCATCCATCTCCAAGCAACAGTACCATAGCAACTTTTTTTCTGCCTTAATACATCTCACAAAAGGAGGACTGGACAAAATAAAACCCAGGAATGTCAAATTTCCACTGTGGAGCGCCTATTCCCTCCGCTAGTTATGGCTGGAATTCACCCAACAACCCCGGAGCAGGGGTTTTTCCCCCAAAAAACCCTGCCTTTGTAAAGCACTCGGTCACGTAACCCGGACTGAGGGACACGACAAACCACCTTGGATACAGATCCACCATCCGGCACGGACCGAGCGGACAATCTGGGCTCGGGGGGGGGGGGGGGGGCGGATAATAAAGGTGGAAAAAGGTGAAGCTCGATTAAAACAGGGCAATCTCGGAGCGATGAGGGTGTGCAGATGGGGTTTGGCTGCTGCAGCAGCTCAGGCCAGGAGGATGGAGGGGGATGTGAGACCCTCGGTCCCTTCACAGCACAGTCGATCGGGAGCCAGGCAAGAGGCGCTGGGACCTTCCTTTTCGCCCCTCGGTGTCACCGCATCTATTTTTCCCATGGTGACTCATTATTAAGGACGCTCCGTCATTTTTCCAGCGCAGGAAGATTAAAGGAAGCTTCAAAATCCATTTTTTTCCTGACGGTGGTTAAACCAACCCGTCTGGAGGGGCCGTGAGCTGAGCAGGGCTTCTTATTTCCTTTTTCCCCCAAAATAAAACCAGCTTCCAGCGGGGGGGGGTGCATCAACTTGAGAGCATTTCCCGAGGATAAAGGTGTTGCTGAGGCGGCGGGGGAGAAGCCTCTTCCTCCTCCTTCTCCTCGCAGGGAAAGACGGAGGGAGGAGGAAAAAAAACACAACCATGCAAACAGCTACTACTTCCTTATGAGCGGGATTAACCTATGCAACAACAACAACAAAAAAAAAACCATCAAGGAAAAAAACAACCCAGCACGATATGAGTCCAAGGCGCTTCCCGCGTGGAGGATCCCGTGTTTTCTCCGTGGGTTTGTGTGATTTATTTATTTTAATTATTTCTGAGAGTCACGTTCTCGCAGCTGCAGGCGCTTTGGTTCCCACCGCCCGCTGCACCTCGGGGGGAAACGCAGCATCATCCAGGGGCTCCAGACGGGAGGGAAAGGCAGCGAAATGGGCGAAAATAAACAGAGAAAACTCCAAGCGTTGAAGAATAAAAAAAAAAAAAAAAAAGGACTGGCGAACAAGCTGGCTCGGCGCTGCCTCCGGGCACTGGGATCCTCTCCGAGCCGGCGGCCGAGCTCCCCTCGCTGCCGCTCCGCCGTTTCGGGTCCATTTTTGGCCGTTTTTGTATTTCCCCGCTGCGGCCGCGCCGCCGGTCCCGCCATGGCGCGGGTTATTTACAGCGCTGTTTTCCTCCTCCTCTCCACGGGAACCGCCGGCCTCGCGCACTCCTCCCCCCCTTTCCCACGTTCTTCCCCCCTCGTTCTCCCCACACCCCGGGCCGGCCGGACCCCCCGTCCCGGTGCCCACTCACCGCTTGAAGTGCTCGATGATCTTCTCCTCGCGCACGTTCTCCGGCAGGTTGCCCACCCAGAGGTGCCTGGTTTCCCGGACCATGCTGCGCGGCGCGGGCCGAGCCCTCCGCCCGTGCCCCGGCTCCCGGCCGCCGCTCGCCGCCCGCCGCCGCCTCCGCCGCGCCCTCCGCCCCTTCCGCCGCGGGGCCCGGCCGCCCTCAGCGCCGCCGGCCGCCGGACCGCACCATCCCCGCCGGGGGGGCCCCCTGCCCGCCGGGCCGGCTGCCGGGCGCCGGGCTCGCTCTCCGCCGCGGCCGCGCTCCCTCGCCGGCTCCCCCCGCCGCGCCGCCCGCCCGCTCGCTCCCGCTGCCTCCTCCTGCTCCTCCTCCGGCAGCGGCAGCGCGGCGCCCCCGCCGCCTCCTCCTCCTGCTGCTGCTGCCCGCGCCCCCCCGCGCTCCCGCTGCTCCGCCGGCCCGGCCGCGCTCGCTCGCCCTCCCTCTCTCTCTCTCTCTCGCTCGCGCTCCCCCCCCCGCTCCTTCCCTTTTCCCTTCCCTTGCCCGCGCCTCGCGCAGCGCCACACGGGGGCCCCCGCGCAGGCGCACTGCGCCCCGGGGCGCGCGCCGCGGGGCCGCCGGAGGGGGCGGGGCGAGGGCGCGCGACGCCCCACGCGGGGGGGGCGGGGACGGGAGTGCGCGTGCGCGGGGGTGAGAATTGTAATGGGGAGAAATGTGAGAAATAAATACAAGGGGGGATATAACGGGGGAATGTGAGAAACGTAATGGGGGAGAAATAAATATAATGGGGAAAATATAATGGAAAGTGAGAAATAAATATAAAGGGGGGAAAGGTAATGGAGGGATGCGATAAATATAATGGGAGAGAAATATATAATGGGGACAAGAAATAAAATGGGGGAATGTAGGAAATATGATGGGGGAATGTGAAAAATAAATATAATGGGGGAATGTGGGAAATATAATGATGGGTGAGCCACAAGGGGGGATATCAGAGTCGGGGGGCTGTGAGAAGCATAACGGGGTCTGCAAGAATTATGAAGAGGGGCTCTGAGAACTGGGATGGGGGCTCTGAGAAGCATAACTGGGGCCTTTGAGACATGTAATGGGGGACTCGGAAATGTCACGAGGGGCTGTGAGATACAGAACGTGGGGCTGTGGTAGCTGGGGGTGTGAGAGTCATAATGGGGACTCTGATAAATGAAACTGGGGGCTGTGAGACTCGTGATGGGGGGGCTGTGAGAATTGGGATTGGGGGCTGTGAGACTCTTAATGAGGGGCTGTGAGGAACATAATGGGGCTGCCCTGCCAGCACCATCTGCAGCCTCAGGGCACAGTCTGAGGAGCTGCACCCAGCCACGGGGCCCTGCTGACCCCACACCGACAGCCCCCGCCCTAAATCCCATCAGGATCCCCAGATCTTGAGGCACAAACACCTTCACCCACAGGTGAGCACACAGCCAGCTCGTGGCCACTGGGAGAGCAAATAAGGAATTAATTGAGGTGAGGGCCGTGAGGGCCCCCTGTGGCTCTGGGATCTGTGATGGCTCCAAAGGCCACAGCAACAGGAACCCCGAGTGGGGCTGGAGGGGGCTCACTGAGCCCCCCACGGCTGCCCCAAACACTCCCCTCCACCAAACTGGGGCAACTGTGTCACCTCGAGACACTTCCCATGGCCAAATTCCAGCTCAGAACATTGGTACTCTGTCAGTGCCCCTTATTAAATGAGGGAGACCACATTGCCCTGAGAACTGCACGGAAGAAACTCCCACCGTGGGGAGGATTCACCCCCTGCTCTCCCACAGGGGTTTGCAGAGCTCGTTAATTAATTAAGATGGGGTGAAGAAATCACCCGCTGCCAGTATCACCCTGCCTCGTGTCACACCATCCCTGCTCAAAAGGCAGCTCTGCGACATAGAACTAGATGGTTTTTAACCCACAGGGTCCTGTTTTCCACCAAAACGTGCCTCCACAGGGATAAAAACACCTATTTCTAGCCCCAAAAGGAAAATGCCCAACAGATTCTCACTGTGAGACTCCGAGCAGTTTGAGGTAGGATAAAACACGCACTCACAAGTTTTTCAAGCCAGTTCACTGCTTTCACCACAGAGCAGACCCTACTTCAGTGTTTTCCATGGCCAAAGTCTCCTGACTGAGTTCTACTATTGATCAAACCCACATTTTATTTGTCAGAGCTGCCTTTTGCCACCTTGGACACTGCAACTTCCCAGCAACAAGTCCACCTCGCCAAGTGGTCAAAGTCACTGGGCTGCAGCGGCTTAACAAACATGCAAATCTCTTGATTTAATCACATCTCTGACGCAGGGCCACTCCAGCCCAGCAGCCCCGAGCCTTAGCCCGGCTCCGAGCCCACCCCTGGCTGGCCCCATGCCTCAGTTTCCCCAGCGATGACAGGCTCTGCCCAACTGGAATCTACTGATTAAGTAAAAACCCCAACAACTCCTTACACCCAAACCATCTATTATTTAAACATGTGATGGAGCCAACGTGCTCCACCGGTGCTTCCAGTGTGGGATTGGGCTCAGCTTTCCATTTTAACTGGTGGAAGCACGAGGAACAGTCCCTAGGTGTCTCTGCCTTTAACAGGCTACCCATTCAAGAGAGGAAAAACCCAAACCATGCACCAAACGGCTTTTCCATGAGGAATTCTCCCTCTCCAATGGAGGGGGACACTTGTTCTTGCTGCGACAGCATTTCCAGCTGTTCCCCCTCCCTGCTGGGGCAGCATCTCCTGTGGACACGAGGAAACCACGTCGGCTCCCAGGTCCTTCCAGGGAAGCTCCAGCAGGGTCACTGCTGTCACCCAGTGATCTCACAGGACATCGGGGCTGGAAGTTGTCACAAAGCCATTGACTCTGTTGACAGAAGAGAGGGTTGAGAGGAGCGCCAGGAGGGCTCCGTTTACACGACAACCAGCTGGAAGAGGAGCACAAAACCCGGCTGGTGACGCAAAACAAAGCGCTGGACCATCCCAGTGCTTTTCAAACGCTTTGTGGGGAAACTGTTCCCTGTTGCAACACACGAGCAATGCCGCTGTAACCGGATCCCTCCAGCTCGCTCGAGGATTTCAAAGAACACAGACCCAGGCTGGAGACCAGAGTGAGTAAAACCTCTCTTCAGCAAAGGGGCTGTGATGAAGGGCTGGTCTCCTGCAGTAGCAACCAACACCACCCTTGTGACACACATTTGTGCCACTCTCCTGCCACGAGGGACAGCATGATGAGCATCCAGGGGGGAGACATGGATGCACATCCCGGTGCACTGCCCTTCCCAGGGGCCAAACAGCCAAGGACAAGGGGACTTGAGCTGCTCTGCATCACCTGATGACCTTCAGCCTTTGGGACAATTTAAATGACTCCTGGCTGGGTGTAGCCGAGTGCCCTCCGGTGATCTCGGGCCATCTCGGTCAACCCCGTAGTTAACACATTTGGATGTTTCTTATCAGCACTTGCAAAGGATTAAAGTTCCAGGCCATATATTAGTGAGGGAGTAGGTTATAAACCCATCTCAGCTTGAACACCGTGTTCACATGAGGAAAAGCAAAGCAAGAACAGAACAGATCAAAAGAGAGCCATTAAAGGCGTGAGAAAATGGGGCTGCCATATAAGGAGCTAATAAAGTTAGCAGTTCTCCAGTTTGGAGGAAAAAAAAGGGGCAGGAGAAACAGAAAGCATCCTTGGGCTGTACACAGCAGCCTCACTTTGAGGAGAAAACACTAATAAACAGGAGTGAGCAGGAAAAACCCTTGAAAAGGCGAGTTTGCCCGTTTTTAACATGGTGTCTTCCCCGGGTGGCGGAGCTGCCACGTGTTGCCGGCACCGCTCGCCAAACACTTCCAAAAGCAAAGATTAGATACTGAGCAAGGACAGCAACCAGGGCTCCGTTTGCTCAGGCTTCCTCCCCTCGGGTCTGGCTCAGCAATAGCTCTGTGTGTTGTGCTCCCAGCGGACGTGAGGAGGGGATACCACGGCACCCCCGCGGGCACACGATGATCGTCCCCACCAGGGTCCAGGGCACAGCCAGTATCTCTGCTTTTTATAGGAAAACAGGAGGTTTCCCAGCCAAGAGCCCCCAGAAACACTCGGAATGTTTCTTTGTTGGAGCCAGCCAGCTCCAGCCACCCTCTTGTCAGGATAAAATGTATTTACGTGCCTTCCCTGCTCATTGACTGTATTTATTAAAAGAACACTATGGCAGCTGAATATCAAATTCCCAGCTAGGCTTTTATCTCCTTTTTAAGCCAGCCTGAATTATTGGCCTAATTTTATTGCTTACCCATTCTGTTCTATGCTCATTTTCTCCAAGAAGGCACTGGTGTGTTTGATATTTGGGCTCATTTGTTGCCAAGACAGAGGCTCTCGCTTGGAACACAGAGCTGGGTTCTGGAGACTTAAGCAACACAAAGCACAGGATTTAGATTAATAAAGCTCTTGATTTCGGTTCTTTTTAGGGTCAGTGATCCAAATCTTCACGACGAGATGACTTTGTGCAGAAAACTCCCTCCCTTTTTGAAACCTAGCATTTAGTAATTTATTTTCTTAAATAAATTCTTCCCCGTGGTGTTCTTATCCACACAGTGCTAGGGATGGAAAATGCCACAAAATGCCACCAGTCACCTTCTGCAGCCTAGTAAACACAGCTCAGGAGCCCCTGGAATTCTGTTGACACTGAACCCATTTGGATCTCTGTATAAAAGCACATTTCTGTTTTCAAAATCTTTGCTACAGAAAACCAGAGGTTTCTTCAGCAACAGAGCACAGTGAGCTGAGCCATGCAACCAAACCCCAAGTGCCATCGCAGGACTGCAAAAAAGCTTCCTCTCACTTTCAGTACAGCAAATATATGGAATAAATACCTTTTTTCTTGCCTGTTGGGGAAAATTAGAGATATCCCCGTGCCAGCTTCTGCTCTGCTTCCCCTTGCCCCCCAACTTCTGTACAACCATGTGCCAGAGAGCAGTGTCCACTCATCTGACAAGGATTCTTCCCAAATCCAGAGCTTTCATCAGCTAGACAGGACTATGGTCTTCCAGGCAGCAAAATATTACATTTCAGGGGAAAAACAGAGAAAACAAATGTAAAAAACAAGCCATGTGATTTGATACCCAAACAGGAAAACTGCAAAGGATATAATCTGGTTAGATCACTGAATCCTGTACTTTCCCATTTATAACACCTAATTGTTGTATTAATTCACATCAAAATGTAATTTTTTCCTGTGTGCAACGCCCGGGGGGGCGGGGGGGGAATCACAGAAATTAGGCTGGAAATGTTGCAGGACAAGGCTTTAACACAAACCCCCAGTCCAAACCTGTGAGCCTTAGGCTGCTCTTCCCACATTCCCCATTGGACTGATCAGCACACCCAGCACAAAATAAACACTGAGCCACCACCATCAGAGCTTTTGTTTCATCAAACACCATTTTGATACCGCAGCAACACGAGGGTGTTTAAAGGAAGCAGAGTGAACCCATGTCCTTGCAGTTATCGCTCCTTCACTCCAGAGAAAGCACAAAGGGAAATATTTGTGCATCAAGACCTCTCAGAAGCCTCTCCAGCAACACAGCACAGGAGAAGTTTCTCATCTGCCTTTGGAGTTCATTTCACCTCTGCAGATCTCACAGTGCAGCATTTTAACTCTCTGGGATAACAGGAAAGCTTGCAAGACCATGGTTTCCCCCAGTACAGAGGAGGAGAGGAGGTTTGTATCACTTTTTGGCACCAGAAATCCAGGTTTTGTTTAGCTTGGAAGTGCCATGGATGTAGCTCAAGTAAGTCTTCAGGGTGGTAAAAGTTCAGTACTCATAAGGTAATTCTCACTCGTTTATCCTTAACTGCCAAAGGAAAGTAATTCTAAGTCCCACAGGGTGTGCCAGGCTGAAAAATGTGGAATCATCCCAAGAGCCAACTTCTTGCTTCTCTGAACCTTCCTGTGATGAGCACGAGGCGTATTTCCAAACCAACACAGCCCTAAATGAGGGAATAACAATAATATCCTTGTCCATGCTGACTTATTCCAAGTACAAATGAGTCTTTAGGCACAGGAGCTACTGATGGTGTTCACACACCAGCTCCACCACAGGGAGCAGGGGATGAAATCTGGCCTGGCCACCTCATCCTCCCCCTCTGCTTAATTTTGGCCAAAAAAGCATAAAGCCATGGCTGTGCTACAAAACACTACAGCAACCAGGCAGTGAAATAATTTCTCATAAGGGGCTGCTCCAGCATGGCAGGGCCTGGTCTGCCAGAGGCATCCATGCAATCCTGATGCCGATATCCTCATTAAGGGCTAACGACCCCCAGCACTCCCTGTGCACTAATGACCACGGGAGCTGCGCCTTGAAGTCATGTGTGACCTGGGAGAGACCAGCACCAGGTGCCTTTTATTACCTTTGCAACACAACAAAAGGAATTACACCCAGTAAGGAAGCGTTTTCCTTCTTCCCAGGGAGCAAGGAATGGAGTAATAAACCAGCAGCATATTGTGGGAGCGAGTTCACAGAGAAAAAAAAATATAGTTCAAGGGGACCATGATCTTCACCAACACAATTTAGGACATTCGACACTCCCTCCGACCTCCACTGCCTTCGCTTGAGCAAAATTAGGAGGAATAGACTATGGCACGTAGGTCTGTTGGCTTGGAGGGAAAGGGGCCCCACAGTTTTGCTCCCTGGAGGCACCCGCTCTCCCCACCCCTTTTGTGTGTATTTTTTTTAATGTGCCACACATCAGCACAATGCTGACAAGGGCTTTGTATGTTTTCTGCCTATGCAGCAGTTCAAGACACACAACTCTGGATTTTTTGAAAGGGGAAAGGGGGAGGGAGCTGCCCTTTGCTGTGCTGGTTAATTGCGCGGTTCGCTCTTCTACGTGACCACAGGGAAGGGAAAAAGCACCGACGTTTAAACACAGAACCATTTTTAGCAGCCAAAAGGGTCAAACTCAGTCTTCTCACAAGATGCAGCAGAGCTCAGAGTAAAATCTACCACAGGCAAGAAAAGAATTATAAATCACCAGAGTTTCTTCTCTGGAGTTGGATGGGACCCCAGAAAACAGCTCATCCATCCTCGCTCACTGCAGTTACAGCCTTCATGTTTCCACACCTGCCAACGCAGGGATTCCAGCCCCGAAAAAATGGAGGGAAAGGGTCTGGAGAGCTGGACTGTCGGTTTTTCCACCTGCCAGGAGCAGCTCAATGGAGCCTGGGTGGCTCAGCTCCAAGGAGCAGCGAGCAGAGCACGTTACCAGCCTTCTGGAGTTCCCATCTCACACGCACATGCGTGATATGGACAGCGCTGGCAAACAGCTTCCTTCAAAAATAAGGATGACTAATCCCCAGCAGTGCCACTTCATTTATTTATTTTTTTTAAAAGGCCACAAGGCAGAGCTTTTTCCAGAAGCATCAGCCTTTGTGAACCAGCAAGTGGTGGGAAGGGGAAGCCCTGGGACCCACTCATGGTCTCCAGACAAAACTAACCACAGGAATACTGTGGGGTTTTGTGGCCTGTGTACGACACACACAGACACGGATGGAGCCCCACACTCATGGAAAGGCTGGATCCCACTGCCCAGGAGACCTGCAGATCCCTGCATGGTTAGTAGGGATCTGATGGGGAGAGGGGTTACACAAACAACCCACTATTTCCCTAGAAAATAAAAAAAAAAAAAAAAAAAAAAAAAGAAAAAAAAAGCGTATGTGGTACCTTGGCTGCAGCCTCCAACAACGAGCGTGTGGATGTTACGGGATTTTGGTTTTTTATGGTATTACCACGTCTGATCACACCAATATATGATTTTAATTAAGCGAATGGCGGGCGAGCTGTCGTGGGGAGCAGGCAAGCGGCGATGGCTTCTTCCCACACCACTCCGGCTCCGAAGATAAATCAGTCCTCGGGTGTTAGGGGATTTCTCCTTGGTTTGGTTTTTTTTCCTCAAGCACGTTTGGGTATTTTCCATGCCGTGAGGAAAGCGGGAGATGGCGGCTCCGACCCCTGCGAAGGAGAAAAGCGGTGCAAGAGAACAGAATTAGGCATTAAACTACCCACCTTGGGGTGCTTGTGGTGATGATGATGGGGGACGGGGGTGGGGAGGGGGCGCGTGTGAAAAGCGGAATTCTGGGCCAAAAATGAGGCAAAAGATACAATATTTTAGGGGTAACGCCAGAGCGGGCGGGGAGGGGGGGGGAAGCAGCGATGGCGCCTGAGGCGG